ATTCTCTATGTATAATATCATGTCATCTGCAAACAGTGACAGTTTTACTTCTTCTTTTCCAATTTGTATTGCTTTTATTTCTTTTTCTTCTCTGATTGCCGTGGATAGGACTTCCAAAACTATGTTGAATAATAGTGGCGAGAGTGGACATCCTTGTCTTGTTCCTGATCTTAGAGGAAATGCTTTCAGTTTTCACCATTGAGAATGATGTTTGCTGTGGGTCTGTCGTATATGGCCTTTATTATGTTGAGGTAGTTTCCCTCTATGCCCACTTTCTGGAGAGTTTTTATCATAAATGGGTGTTGGATCTTGTCAAAAGCTTTTTCTGCATCTATTGAGATCATCATATGGGTTTTATTCTTCAATTTGTTAATATGGTTTATCACATTGATTGATTTATGTATATTGAAGAATCCTTGCATCCCTGGGATAAATCCCACTTGATCATGGTGTATGATCCTTTTAATGTGTTGTTGGATTCTGTTTGCTAGTATTTTGTTGAGGATTTTTGCATCTATATTCATCAGTGATATTGGTCTGTAATTTTCTATTTTTGTAGTATCTTTGTCTGGTTTTGGTATCAGGGTGATGGTGGCCTCATAGAATGAGTTTGGGAGTGTTCCTTCCTCTGCAATTTTTTGGAAGAGTTTGAGAAGGATGGGTGTTAGCTCTTCTCTAAATGTCTGATAGAATTCGCCTGTGAAGCCATCTGGTCCTGGACTTTTGTTTGTTGGAAGATTTTTAATCACAGTTTCAATTTCATTACTTGTGATTTGTCTGGTCATATTTTCTATTTCTTCCTGGTTCAGTCTTGGAAGTTTATACCTTTCTAAGAATTTGTCCATTTCTTTCAGGTTGTCCATTTTATTGGCCTAGAGTTGCTTGCAGTAGTCTCTTAGGATTCTTTGTATTTCTGCTGTGTCTGTTGTAACTTCTCCTTTATCATTTCTACTTTTATTGATTTGAGTCCTCTTCCTCTTTTTCTTGATGAGTCTGGCTATGGTTTATCAATTTTGTTTATCTTCTCAAAGAACCAGCCTTTAGTTTTATTGAACTTTGCTATTGTCTTCTTTGTTTCTATTTCATTTATTTCTGCTCTGATCTTTATGATTTCTTTCCTTCTAGTAACTTTGGGTTTTGTTTGTTCTTTTTTCTCTAGTTCTCTTAGGTGTAAGGTTAGATTGTTTGAGATGTTTCTTCTTCTTTTTTTTTTTTTTGTGGTACATGGGCCTGTCACTCTTGTGGCCTCTCCTGTTGCGGTGCACAGGCTCCGGACGCACAGGCTCAGTGGCCATGGCTCACGGGCCCAGCTGCTCCACAGTATGTGGGATCTTCCCGGACCTGGGCACGAACCCATGTCCCCTGCATTGGCAGGCGGACTCTCAAACACTGTGCCACCAGGGAAGCCCTGTTTGTTGTTTCTTGAAGTAGGACTGTATAGCTATAAACTTCCTTCTTAGAACTGCTTTTGCTGCATCCCATAGGTTTTGGATTGTCATGTTTTCATTGTCATTTGTCTCTAGGTATATTTTGATTTCCTCTTTGATTTCTTCAGTGATCTCTTGGTTATTTAGTAACGTATTGTTTAGCCTCTATGTGTTTGTGTTTTTCACATTTTTTTCCCCAGTAATTGATTTCTAATCTCATAGTGTTGTGGTCAGAAAAGATACTTGATATAACTTCAATTTTCTTAAATTTACTGAGGCTTGATTTGTGACCTAAGATGTGATCTATCCTGGAGAATGTTCTGTGCGCACTTGAGAAGAAAGTGTAATCTGCTGTTTCTGGATGGAATGTCCTATAAATATCAATTAAATCTATCTGGTCTATTGTGTCATCTAAAGCTTGTGTTTCCTTATTAATTTTCTGTTTGGATGACCAGTCCATTGGTGTAAGTGAGGTGTTAGTATCCCCCACTATTACTGTGTTACTGTCAATTTCCTCTTTTATAGCTGTTAGCAGTTGCCTTATATGTTGAGGTGCTCCTATGTTGGGTGCATGTATATTTATTATTGTTATATCTTCTTCTTGGATTGATCCCTTGATCATTATGTAGTGTCCTTTCTTGTCTCGTGTAACATTCTTTAAAGTCTATTTTATCTGGTATGAGTATAGCTACTTCAGCTTTCTTTTGATTTCCATTTGCATGGATTATCTTTTTCCATCCCCTCACTTTCAGTCTGTATGTGTCCCTAGGTCTGAAGTGGGTCTCTTGTAGACAGCATATATATGGATCATGTTTTTGTATCCATTCAGCAAGACTGCGTCTTTTGGTTGGAGCATTTAATCCATTCACGTTTAAGGTAATTATTGATATGTCTGTTCCTATTACCATTTTCTTAATTGTTTTGGGTTTGTTTTTGTAGGTCCTTTTCCTGTGTTTCCCACTTACAGAAGTTCCTTATCAATTGTTGTAGAGCTGGTATGGTGGTGCTGAATTTTCTTAGCTTTTGCTTGTTTGTAAAGCTTTTGATTTCTCCATCGAATATGAATGAGATCCTTGCTGGGTAGAGTAATCTTTTTTGTAGGTTCTTCCCTTTCATCACTTTAATTATATCATGTCACTCCCTTCTGGCTTGTAGTTTCTGCTGATAAATCAGCTGTTAACCTTATGGGTGTTCCCTTGTATGTTATTTGTTGTTTTTCCCTTGCTACTTTCAGTAATTTTTCTTTGTCTTTAATTTTTGCTAATTTGATTACTATGTGTCTTGGCTGCTTCGCCTTGGCTTTATCCTGTATGGGACTCTCTGTGCTACCTGGACTTGGGTGGCTATTTCCTTTCCCATGTTAGGGAAGTTTTCGACTATAATCTCTTCAAGTAGTTTCTCTGTTCGTCTCGCTCTTCTCCTTCTGGGACCCCTATAATGCGAATGTTGTTGCATTTAATGTTGTCCCAGAGGTCTCTTAGGCTGTCTTCATTTCTTTTCATTCTTTTTCCTTTATTCTGTTCCACAGCAGTGAATTTCACCGTTCCATCTTCCAGGTCACTTATCTATTCTTCTGCCTCAGTTATTCTGCTATTAATTCCTTCTAGTGTACTTTTCATTTTAGTTATTGTATTGTTCATCTCTGTTTGGTTGTTCTTTAATTCTTCTAGGTCTTTGTTAAACATTTCTTGCATCTTCTAGATCTTTGCCTCCATTCTTTTTCCGAGGTCCTGGATCATCTTCACTATCAATCATTATTCTGAATTCTTTTTCTGGAAGGTTGCCTATCTCCACTTCATTTAGTTGTTTTTCTGGGGTTTCATCTTGTTCCTTCATCTGGTACATAGCCCTCTGCCTTTTCATCTTGTCTATTTTTATGTGAATGTGGTTTTTGTTCCACAGGCTGCAGGATTGTAGTTCTTCTTGCTTCTGCTGTCTGCCCTCTGGTGGATGTGGCTATCTAAGAGGCTTGTGCAAGTTTCCTGATGGGAGGGACTGGTGGTGGGTAGAGCTGGCTGTTGCTCTGGGGAAGAGCTCAGTAAAACTTTAATCTGCTTGTCTGCTGATGGGTGGGTCTGGGTTTTCTCCCTGTTCGTTGTTTGGCCTGAGGCGACCCAACACTGGAGCCTACCCGGGCTCTTTGGTGGGGCTAATGGTGGACCGTGGGAGGGCTCACACCAAGGAGTACTTCCCAGAACTTATGCTGCCAGTGTCCTTGTCCTCACGGTGAGACACAGCCACCCCCCACCTCTGCAGGAGACCCTCCAACACTAGCAGGTAGGTCTGATTCAGTCTCCTACTGGGTCACTGCTCCTTCCCCTGGGTCCTGATGGACACACTACTTTTTGTGTGCCCTCAAAGAATGGAGTCTCTGTTTCCCCCAGTCCTGTTGAAGTCCTGCAGTCAAATCCCACTAGCCTTCAAAGTCTGATTCTCTAGGAATTCCTCCTCCCGTTGCCAGACCCCCAGGTTGGGAAGCCTGACATGGGGCTCAGAAACTTCACTCCAGTGTGTGGACTTCTGTGGTATAAGTGTTCTCTGGTTTGTGAGTCACCCACCCAGCAGTTATGGGATTTGATTTTACTGTGATTGCGCCCCTCGTACCGTCTCATTGTGGCCTCTCCTTTGTCTTTGGATGTGGGGTATCTTTTTTGGTGAGTTCCAGTGTCTTCCTGTTGATACATTCACTTTTATTGTCAGGATAAATTGCATGTTTTAAAGATGAGTGATCCTTGTACTGTGTGTAGGGCCTTTCACTTTTGTCCAAGGTTTGAAACTGTGCCTGGTTTATGGTGACTAAAATTACCTCTTGCTGTGTGGTGGCTTATATAGTAGTTTCCATCTCAATCACACGTTTTGTCTGATGATAAATTCCGAGTCCATTTGTCAGACCAGCCAGCTCCTGAAGGTGCAGGGAAAATGGGGATGGACCTGCAGAAGCCACTAGCCTCTTTGTGGAAAGGTCTGCATAATTTCCCTTTAGAGATTGAACAGACGAACTAATTTAGAGTTTAGTAACACATTCTTTGTTGATAAATTTATTCAGCACAAATCTAGGCTATCTGTTCTAGGGGACTGAATGCAGTTTAAATAGCCACCAGAGGAAGCTCTCACTTGTATATGTAAGACTTGCACTTTAAATTTTGATTTGCCCTCATATGGAGCAACCTTCTGTTTCATCATGTTGATCATGTCCATTGCCTGTTTTCTTTTTACTCCCTCTTCCTGATCATCTATAGGCTTGCTATACAACTCTTCAAGTGGTGGCTTTATGGAATCAATACTACAGTAGGTTATTGCCAGCCCTTACGAAACAGGAGTACTACTGACTTTTACTACTTAAGAGCCAAAACTGGGGGCTAGTTTTAGATACAATTAAATTTCAAATCACCTTCAAACAATAGTATAAATTTCTTAATGTCCTAAAATGTTTGACAGTACTGAAAAAAAAACCCCACAAAACACACCACATAATCTCTTCTTAGTTCTTGGAGATGCTGTCTGTTCTACAGCACCAAGAAAATCACTCTCATTTTCATTTTCAGGTTCTAATTTTTTTTCTCATTGTTTTAGGAAATTTGGGGCTCAAGGATCACGACTTACGGGAGCAGGATGGGGAGGCTGCACAGTATCGATAGTACCTGCTGACAAGCTGTCCAGCTTCCTAGCAAATGTGCACGAAGCTTATTACCAGAGGAGCAATCGAAGCTTAGTGCCTGAGAAGCAGAGTTTGTTTGCTACCAAACCTGGAGGTGGAGCTTTGGTTTTCCTTGAGGCCTGAACTATTTAGAGCATTTAGGAACTGGCAGGACTTCTATGCCACAGCAAATTAATCCTCTTTCTGTTTTGTATTATGATGAATGGTTGCTATTATCAAGATGTATTTCGAAAGAAATGGTTGAAAGCTCCCTATGCTTCATAATGATTATTTTTCCATCTTAAAATATGTTTTCTACCAATAAGAGCCAAAATTATGCTTGGCCAGATCTCTTAAGATAATTTACTGGATGTATTGATTTCAAGATTTTTAAAAACAAATGGTAAAAGACCATCAATACTGACCTCATGGATTGTACTTGAATTAAACATACATTCTTAAATACAGTTTATTTCTGGTTTCTCTTGGCATTCTTCTTCCTCAAGGTTGAAGTCTTCTGTTGTTGATGATGATAGTGATGCCAGAAGTTTTCTCTCAGTTCGGGCTTCAGAACGCTATTAAAATAATACGTTGTTAAGGATTCACAGATTTTCCTGGATACTGTATACTTGAAAGTGAGATTCTCCCAGTTATCAAGATGAGGAGGATCACTTAAATTTTTTTTTTTCCAAAAGATGGATTTAGGAAGAAAATCCCAGGCTCATTTAATTTTTTTTAACCATGTGATATCATATAAACAATCACTTTCAATTCTTTTGGCCCTGAGCTTTCTCTGTCATAATAGAGAAGCTTAGATAAAAGACACTTCAAGTTTTTAATCTCTGTTCACATTGACATAGAGAATTATCTGGATGTTAATTCAGATAATTCAATTTGTTCATGGAATTTACTTTCTTCCCACTCTAAACTACCTTTTCTCAAATGCCTCTCTAATCCAGGAGGCATGTTTACTATTCTAGGAAAACCCATCTGTGACTTGCATCTTCGTTGTGTGTCTAGCAAACTTGTTTGTATATGTGGACCAATGTAGGGCAGGTGTGAGGCATGAGGGTGAAACTATGAAAAGGCTGAGTGTGGGTTCTGGGATTGGGTAGGGGTATTGGTGGGTGCCTGTATATGTTTATCAAAATGGGCAGCAAGTTTGGCCATGTGGTGATGGTAAATGAGTGGCTCTCTCTCACGGATAGACTACAGGAAGGCTTTCCTGAATTATATGAAAATTTAGACTGAAAAGCATTTTGTGACATAGTCAGATAATTGAGAGACCAGCAGTCATGTGGCATGAATTATCCAGAAGTTTATCACAATTTTCTATTATTCTATGATTGAGTTGCACATTAATGAGCAAAAAGCCTGGATATCATCATCTTGAATCTCAGTTTCAGAGAAGCTGAGGCAAAGCTGGTTGTTACATTTCTCAAAGGACAGCAGTCATATAAAGTACTAGGAAATCCATTATTCTATTCTAAAGTAAAGTTCTGGTGCATTTTCATTCTTAGCAGAAAGGTAAGTACTTGAGAAAGCTTAAGTCCAATTTGTTAATTTTGAATTTTAAAAATTGATTTCAAATGATAATCCTTTGCTTTTTAAAACCTTTCCATTTTCCACAGAAGATCTGTGGTCAATTGATAGATAATTCTTTGAAGATGCCTGGATTACTGTGAAAAAAACCAAAAAATGCACTTGCCTTTAAAATTTTCACCATGAGATACCTTCTTTACAAAATAGGTAAGTAAAAATTTCTAGTGCACACTCTGCTTTGGAGGACATAGTCGTTCTAAGCCAGAATCTACTCCCATATCTGTCTTGCTGTCTGGCTTGAAGAAAAGAACTATTTTCCAATGAAGCCATCACCAAGTGTTATTCTAGAAATTATGAGAGATCTCGAACTTGCCTGGAAAGGATGGGGCTAGGGCCACTGGAAGAAAGCTTCATGTAGAAGACGGAATTTGAGCAGGGCCTTAAAGGATGAATAGAATTTGAAATCTGGGGAGTAGGCATGGCAGATAAGCAAAGTATATGATTATGGGTAAACATGATATGCTGGGAAGACTCAGTGGGAGTGAAGGGTTTGACTTGCGATATAGTGGAGAATAAGATTGGCTATACTGGCTGGAGCCAGCTTTTGAAGAGCTCCAAGTCCAGCATTTAGACCAGGGGTTGCAAACCAGCAGACCATAGGCCTCGTCTGGTCTGCAGATTTATTTAGTTTGGCTTCTAGGGGTATTTAAAAACTTGAGTCCTAAACAGGAATTTTACAGAAGAATCTGGATTACAAATGGTGGAAGATCTGATAACACTTTGGCCTCTATTCCTGCAGAGCCACAATGAACTAGAGGTGAGGAAGTAGTTGCCTTGTTTCACTGAGGCACAGACTCTCCAGTGTGCTATGGTGTCCATGGCTCCTGTAGTTTCTCTAAGACTCAGGCCATTTACTATTTACCAGCTGAGGTCATTTGCCCTTTACCAGTACACTTGCACAGTTTTCTTATATTAAATAAATATTTCTCTGTACCCATGTCTCTAGCAGTAGCAGTTAAGAGAGACCATGAAAAAATGGGAGAAATAATTTTTTTGTGGAATAAAGAGTAGTACTATTTATTTAATATTAAACACCCAATATTTGTTTAATATTAAACACCCAACAATATTACCCCTTTCCATTACCTTTCTGGCTCATAGGAATTTGGTTAGATTATTTGACCCCTGTTTTTGACATTACATCAGTAGCCAATGAGGATTACTCTAGATTTTTGCGTGGAAGCCTGACATGCTGAAAATGAAAAGCTCTCTCTTATTCCTTACCTCAGATTGTCCAATCTTCAGATTTACTGTACACTATTTTCTACATGTTCTTTCTTGTTGGAAGGGAGGAAGGACCTTTAGATTTAATAGGACTGCCTGTAAGTTAAGGTGGAGCAGAAGGGAAGGGGACAAAGAAAACTGGAATGATGGGACCATGTCCTTCCTTTTCTTTCTTTCTTACTTGAGTACTGTTTAGAACCTTATCATTTCTTACATTTCTGTTAATTGAGGGCAAGAATCATTCATCTAACACAGTAGTTGGAATCCAATATATTTTTGTTGAATTATTAACGGGAAATAAAATATGACTTCAAATACCAATAATTTTCTGTTAGTTTGAAATTCTGCATTTGGAGGTTTTCAGTTGCATAAAATGCTTCTGGTCAGGAGCAAGGGATGGGGATGAGTGAGCATGAGGTTGTCACTAATACATGAGAGAGGGATTACCCTAAATGTGCATGTGGATGATTAAATAACAATAATGTATTCCATCCTGCCACTGTAACTTGGATGTGAAACCATACATTGCTTATTAAATATTTTCCAGTCTATATAAGAGAAGCTAGAGAGAGAATTCTCAATTATTTTCAGAAAAAAACTTACCAGTTTTTGTAGGAAATTCTCAAAATCATTCTTAACTTCGTAAGGTTTCTTGGTAGCCTTTGCTTGGAGCCTAATCATGAAAGAAAGAAAATTGGTAACCAAACTAATTGTTTTCATACTGACACCAACTAAGAGCCACGATTTACGAAGAGTTTAATATGCTGGGCATTTGCCACCACTTTACATATATTAATTCAGTTACACTGACAACAATCTTAGGAAGTAGGTACTATTATTATCCTATGTTACAGATGAGGAAAGAGGCACAGATAGGTTAACTAGCCTGTCCACAGTCATACAGCTAGCAAGTAATAAAGGATTTGAACCCAAGCAGTGTGACTTGCGCCCTCTATTCTAACCACTGTGCGACACTGCATCCCAGCAGTGAAGCATCCTCTTCAGTGAGATGGTTCACACAGTAAGTATTCCCTCAACGAATTCCACTCACTGGGCTCCAGTGCAGATTTTAAGATGAGTCACTGGGGAGGGAACAGGAAAAGGGACTGGCCTGGAAAATATCTGGGGGAGAGAGAGAAAGAGAGACGGAAAAGGATAAAGGGTGAGGGAGGCGCTTACTAGACTGTAAGCTCATCAAGGGTGGGGATCCAGGAATCTATCATGATTTCTGTCACCACATACTCATTCAAGAAATATTTTTAAGGAGTTGAATAGCTGAATTGAGGAGGCAGCAGGAAACTTTCCAGAGATCTACAGATAAAGACAGAAGCAGAGGTAGGCCAGGCAAGGAACGATAGGAACTTGGGACAAGGGAGAGACAGCAAGAGAAACACAGAAGAGAGAAAGAAAAATGAAAAATGGTATAAGACTATTGATTTCACTGGCGATTTTCAAGTGAAACATTTGAAATTATTCTGTGAATTCTGTAGGAAGTGAAATTTTCTAAAAATTCCAAATACACTTTGCTGAAGCATGAACTTTGGATTAGCTAAACCCCTATAAGGCCTGCTCTAGGTTTCTCTAGCATTTAGCCTAGGGGTCCCCTGAGGGCACCCAGTAGGGCTACCTCTGAGGGGCCTCTTGTGTTAGTGTTCTCTAACAAATACTCCCTTACTCTTTCTCTACTTTATCTCTGCCAATTTTATCTCCTCAACCTAGGTTTTCTCCTCACTTCTTACTACCCTTTTGGACTATTCTTCCCTGCTTTTCTAAAATCTGGCTCTGAGTCTCTTCCTCATAGTCCTATTTAAATATCCCTGGTGCCCTTTTTTCAGTAACACACTCTTAGAATCTTCTTGACTTCAAGTCATCCTGAGACTGGTTCATCTCACTTTGTTAAAATCAATCCATCTTCCAACCCACTTTTATTTTTTTAGAGTCATTGTATTTTTTTATTGTATCATGTTTTTAAACATCTTTATTGGAGTATAATTGCTTTACAATGGTGTGTTAATTTCTGCTGTATAACAAAGTGAATCAGCTATACATATACATATATCCCCATATCTCCTCCCTCTTGCATCTCCCTCCCACCCTCCCTATCCCACCCCTCTAGGTGGTCACAAAGCACCGAGCTGGTTTTCCTGTGCTATGCAGCTGCTTCCCACTAGCTATCTATTTTACATTTTCCAACCCACTTTAATTTACAGTTCCCCTCTTCTTTTGTTTTGAATAACAGCTTTGTTGGTATGTTACATAACCTAAAATCCACCCTTTCAAAGTATACAATTCAGTAGGTTTTAGTATATTCACAAAGCTTTGCAAGCATCACCACTACCCAATCTCCCATCTTGCTATCTTTCCTTTCCATGACTATCTTTTTTTGAAGATTACAGATAGAAACTTGGACACTGTGCCTATAAATTTAACAGGGACGTGGAAGTTATATACCCAAATGAGTCTTTTCCCCTTCACTTTCTCCAGCAATGTGCCATCGCATAAAACATATTTGAGTGCTTCTTGTGAGTTGCTCTGAAAACCAGTCTGCATCCTTTTGCATATCTTGAGTGGTGAGAAATCCTGTCCTCTATAAATTTGATTTTTGGGAACTTGTAAAAGTCATCTGGAGTCAGATCTTA